GTTTAAAATATGTGTGTATAATTGTCTTGTGTAACATTAAGATTCAAAATTATTTGAAATTTTGTTGTGTCTTGTGTAACATTAAGATTCAAAATTATTTGAAATTTTGTTGTGTCTTGTGTAACATTAAGATTTAAAACTATTTGAAATTTTGTTGATTTTTAATCCCATAGTAATTTTCAGGATTTCTGAAATGGTTTCGCAGTAACCCCTGATTATTTGCTGTGCTGTATTTTTGTCTTGTTTTTTTGCACAGTTCTTTTTCCTGTTATAAGTCCACATCCATGACAAATGGTAGTATATTGGAATATAATATGTTATCTACTTTCATTATTAAACAGTTTTGTTGCTGCATTTGGCAGTAAAATCGTATGATTTCCTCTTTAAAAACCTAAGCCTGGTGTGGCACACAGGTAGAGTACTTCCACTTGCAGTTACTAAGTTTTATATTCAATAACTGTCTGCTCCAGGAACAGTGACTGGTGTTTTTAGAGTAGGTTTTTGTCTGTTAGAAAAGGCTAAAGTCTGCTACTAGGTGGTAGTTGTGTGTTTTATCAGGAAATTTAATTTTTCTGCTTATCAGGATCAATTCAATATTAATTATTGATAGAAATGTATTTTATAGTTTAATTTCAAAAATTCCCTGTTTTTTTTTTCTATTTTGTACCGTTTGTTTTTATCTTGTAAAAGAGTTGAACATGCTCAGAAAAGTTGGTAAGGTTAAGGAGTGAAGAAATTAGTAATCAGCTCTTCCCTGAATTTGTTTAACTCAAGATTTATGATGCTGATGTATATGAAACTGCATATATTTATTAAGAGTAAAATTATTAAATTTTGTCATGTGTTAGAAAACGTATGGAATTAATTATTCGTGAATAAATAATGCAACAACAGTTTTTGGTAATGTAAACATTTTTTCATGCTTAATTAATTTTTGCATTGCTATTTGTAATTATCATTTAGAATGTTGTGCTGTAACTTGAGCAAGTTGGTGAGTAGCAGATTAGGAAGTCCAGGATCATTTTCTGTATATTCTTTATGGGAAGTTTTTGGCAATTTGAATGTATGGAAAAGTGTAAGATTTTGCTTATATGCTTATATATATTCCTTGTGAACAGTTTATTTCATATAATTTTTCTAGATATTAAGTTCTAAATTTAACATGCTCATTTATGTTTTGAAATACAAGAGGCATATTTAAAAAATAATGGCAATTTAGACATTAATAAAAAACAAATGTAAAAACATCAACTATTCGTTCAGAACTTGACCATTCATCTTCATTTTTTAAAGTAATCAGCATTTTTATCTAATGTTATCTTCTTGTCATTATGCAACAAAAAAACAAACTTTTGTCCTTAATTCTGTGCTGCATGAGAGTTCATTGTTGCAGTTTTTAACCTATCTTTTCCCTCTTGAGCTCTTTAAATTAAGAAAGACACATAAGGCAATACAAGGTGAAAGTTGTTAATTCACTCTCAGAATTGCTGGTCTTCAGACTAATACAGGCAGTAGTGTATGGTTTTGTGTTGCTGTAAAAGAGAATAATTCCTGACATCAACATTTTATATTACTAGGTCTAAATGGTACATGCCTCTTTAGATGGCATCTCATGGTATATTTCTTAATATAGCTGTTTTCCTTACTCTAAAAAAGTCTACCAAAAACACTTTTGTTGCAAAAAATGGCAGTTATGATCTTCCTTGCTAAGTGAATTTGAATAACTCCATTAGGTGGATTATTAGCACTAAAGGTGCTGTTAGTCTGTAACCTTGCTTTTTTGTCCATATCACTTTTCAAATATTTATCAAGAAATAATATAATGAATTAAAAAAATATACATGACAATGCAAAAAAAAAAAAAAAAAAAGGATGTTTCCCCAAATGTTATCTTTGTGTACTATTTTTAAAGAAAATATAGCAAATATAAAAAAAGTATGGCGACACAAATAAAAGACTATTGCTAGTTTTAAAGAAATAATCAACCAAATATATATATATATATATTTTACAAAGTATGCTAGCATTTAATGCTTTAATGAGAATTTCATTTTCATGAATGCTTATAACCACACTTTCTTATTCCAAAATTGCACCAGCCCAGGACAACCGTTGATTTATTTATTTATTATGCCATTATTTCTAGCGCTCATCAGTGGCTGAGTGGTAAGTCGCTGAACACTGGTAGTTCAAACCCGGGTTCGATTCCAGGCAAGTGGGCTAGTTACATGGGCATTTTCTTGGTTTTACCCAAGTATAACATATATACGAGCCAATTTCCTTTATAGAGACCTACACGAAGGCATCTCTCCCCCTTAGGCAGATATCAGTAGTGTGCTTTGCCATAACCTAAATAAACCATTTATTTCTAATCATGGAAAATGAAACAAAACAAGGCAGGTCACAAAACAGTAAATAATTCAAAGCTGATTGTGGTCTTGATATAGCTGGAATTTTGGATATTTTATTTTCTTAAGTCTCGGAACTTCTAGATTTGAGAAATGTAGACTCTGTAATCAGCAAATTTGCAAAATCTAAATCATTTTCAAATTTTTTTAGTACATCATCAGTACAAGTAACTAAATACCGTTTCATTCTAGCGCCGTCGCAGGGCTGTGGTAAGCGTCCAGCACATGCGCACTAGTCTTTCTTGTTCACTGACTTTCAATTGTCGCCATTTTGGTTGCTCTATGTTGTGTTTTCAGTTTGCTGTGCACATTCAAAATGTTTAAGACAATTAGTTCTCCCGCTGACTGTGAGATTCGTGCCGTGAATTTTTGAATGCGAGGAATGTTAGACCGGCCGAAATCTATCGTCAAGTGACGGAAGTTTACGGTGAATACGCAATAAGTGATGGAATGGTGAGAAAGTGGGTAAGAATGTTTAATGCAGGTCGAACAAATGTCCACGCCAAGGCTCGGAGTGGTCGGCCTTCTGTTGTCACCGATGATTTGGTAAGGAAAGTTGATGAAGCAATTCATGAGAACAGACGCTTCACAACGACAACTCTTTCAGAGGCATTTCCACAAATTTCACGTATTGTTTTGTTCTAAATTGTGTCCGACCGCTTGAATTATCGCAAACTGTGTTCCCGATGAGTTCCAAAAATGCTCACTGATGTTCACAAAACAAAGCGACTTGGTAGTGCCCTGACATTTCTCACGCGGTACAGTGATGAGGGAGAAAACTTTTTAAACCAAATTGTGACAGGTGATGAAACTTGGGTGTGTCATTTCACACCAGAATCGAAACAACAATCGATGGAGTGGAGACACACTCATTCTCTGAAAAAACAAAAGTTCAAAGTGACAATGTCATCACAAAAAATCATGTGCCTGTCTTCTCTGATAGGAAAGGCGTTTTGCTTACTGAATTTCTTCCCAGAGGTGAAACCATTAATGCGGCACAATATTGTGTGACTTTAACAAAACTAAGGCGTTTCATTCAAAACAAACGAAGAGGAATGCTCAGTAAAGGAATTGTGTTGCTCCATGACAATGCTCGGCCCTGTACTGTTGGCGTCACTCAATCGTTAATTCGACATTTTCATCGGGAGCAGTTCGATCACCCGCCGTACAGCCCGGACTTGGCGCCGTCCGACTATCACTTGTTCCTGCACATGAAGCGTGAGCTTGGTGGCAAGCGCTTTGGATATGGCGATGACACGAAAAATGCTGTGGAGTTGTGGTTATCGAAACTGGGGGAAGTTTCTTTGACGATGGTATACAAAAAACTGGTCACCCGCTATGACAAGTGTTTGATCATTGGCGGAAACTATGTTGAAAAATAGTTTGACATGTATTTTCATGTAAAAATAAAATTGGATTCGAAAAAAATGTTTTACTTTTTTTTTTTTTTTTTTTCAAAAACAGTACTAGTTTCCGAATACACCTCGTATATAAAGTTCAGGAAGGTCAAACTTCTTGCTACAGATTTGAGAAATATAGACTCCATAATCAGTAAATTTGCAAAATGTAAATCTTTTTCAAATACAAATGTATTATTCTGATTCAAAACCTTTTAGACTATATAAAGTTCATTGAGGTCAGACTTATTGTGCAGCAAATAACCTTTTGATATAAAGAGTTATTTTGCCATTTGTCTTACACTGAAAAAGAAGAAACTGATAATGTAAGATTTTGAGTTAAGTATTCAAACTCTAAGATGGAAAACAAAAATGCTCAGCATTCACAAAACTGGTTAAATCTCTTTTTAATTTGCTTACATGAAACCATAATTGAGTGTTCATCTAATTAATTATATATGGATGATATTACGTTAAAATGAAGAACATCCTTAACCAGTTATAGCATAAGCATTACACAGACTTAAATGTTATTTATTCTCATTACACAAAACTGCAGTTAACATGTTTGTTTCAAAGATCCTTCTGATAACTATTGGTAAAGATCTGGTGATAATGTATAAATAAACAAATCATTATAATTCTTTATATTCCATGAACTAGTCTTCTTTTTAGCAGTGTCTGATAAAACCAGTTGTCTTTATCAAAATGCCCTGCTGATCATACTGAATTTCATTTGTTAGAATACAAAAATATGAACATAGTAGTAAAGTAACCCCCTTTCCCAGGAAAAGCAAGCTTAACTTAGCACTTGTTGACAAACTAAGTGGATAGCGAACTGTGCGAATTGATATAGTGAAACATAGTTTAATTTTAAATAAATCAAAAAAGTATATACTTTTTGCCTTGCTTGTGAAGTAGTTTAAAAATATGTGTGTATGCATATATGTATTTCATATCAATATTCTAAATTATTTTAATAATCGCTCAGTATTTTTAGGGATTTTTGAGATAGGTTCCTAACAACCCTTGACAGTTGCCTTGTGTTGCTGTATATCTGTGATCTGACAATTGTTGCCAGTTGCCTTTTATTTTTCCTGTCCTTATTTTTGAAGTATGCCTCATATATAATTTGAATTTAAATCTGCTTCAAGTAAATAAAAATGTAAATATGCATGACATTTATTTTACGTAGGAACTGGATGAAATGGATTTGGAAGAGGATAAAAAGTCTCTCATACATCGGGAAATTGATAAATTCCGGGATACTTACAAGGTAATTATCCCTCCGAATACTTTTCTGTGCATGAGGAAGTTTTTTCTACAAGAAGTATATTCCCTTTAAGTAACTCCATCAATCTCATTATACAGTAACTTATAAATTTTAATAGAGAGTTCATAATATTTTAAGCATATTATTTTGGCTTTTTTTTAAAAAAGGGACTCTCAGCTATCCTTTCCCCTGCTTCTTTTGTTGGCACAAGTCCCTAGATTTAATATTAGTGTACATTATGGTGTAAAATTTTTATAATTTAATTTTTTAGATAACATTTTTAAAGAAAAATTAAATTATATTTTACTTTCTCTTTTTCTAATTAAATAATAATTTTTTATCTATAATTCTTTAAAGAATAACCTAAGCCTTAAGAATCTGCATTTTAATTACTTTAAATGATGTGTAAAATCTTTGAGTATCATTTTAAGGTAAACTGTAAATAATTTCGTACATTCTTTTATACTTATTTTAAATATTGCATGAATTTTTCTTTGCTGATATTATTTTCGGCTTTCCAGTTAGTAAAATTAATTTTAAGGTATTTTTATTGATAAATTATCTAAGTCTTGTATGTAATTTGTGCCATTTGTAAATGTCCCTATTTTGCAATGCAAACAACAACAAAAAAAAAAAAAAAAAAAAAAAAAAAAAAAAAAAATCAGTAGCAACACCGCTTTAGCTGCTAGACTATACTAGTACCATTCTACTACAAATAGCCAAAATGGACATTTTTCGTTCATTGTGCATGTTTTAGTGTGTGAATGTGCAAATGATTGGTGCTAGTGGATTAAGCTTAAGTTTGTTATATGATTCCCCAAACACTAGGAGTAAACCTTGTTGATGTTAAACAAGCTACAACACGCCACTAAATGGGCTATGCTGTTTAATTTTATCTAGGAGTTGGTGAGTAAATTGGTACTTTGATATATGTTGTTGACACTTGTTTCACTGAAAATCTGAAGAAACACTTGTTTAATCATTTTTCTATAGCTAAAAATGGGTAATATTTTTGAAGTTTCATGTTAGAACCTGATCATAGCATTCACTTTAATATCATCTGAATAATGTAATATTTAAAAATGTTTCAAGTATAGTTTCTGTATTCAGGTCTGTATATAGATTTTTTTCATTAATGGCTTTACTGATCTTTTGCTATCCTTTTGTGTTTAATTTCTCATGTTCTCGGTAATTTAAAATTCTATTAATACTTGTCTCTTAAAAATAAATAAACTAATAAAAAATTCAATATAAGTGAAATTTCACTCCAAAATACACGATCTTGAGCATTATTCAGTTTGTTCTAATTAGGCTGTCAAGTGTCATCTTTGCTTTTATATAATAAATGAATATGCATGCAAGTTTGTCACATAGAGCTGAGGCAGACTGGTTCAGAACTATAAAATTTGGAGCAAACTTTGTCCGGGTGAAGAAAGCGTGCACCTTAAAGGAAGTTTAAAGCTTTATTTATTATTGTCGTTTTTGTTATTGTGTTTAAATTTAATAAACCAATTTTTTGCACCTATCTTCGCTTTATTAATTAACAAATAATTCCAAAATTTGAATGTTTATACCATCAAACACTGTGAGGAAGAAAATTCAAATTCTTATACCCTAAAATACTGTCTTGAAATTTTCGTAGATTTAAAAAACAAATTTTCAACCCCCTCTTTCAACACAAGAAGGGGAAAAAATATTTGTAAGCAAATAAGACTTGCTGCAGGTCTTCTGCCATTTTATAAATGATCTCTCCGCCGCCATCAGCATGCCAAGCCACTAGCAAAATAAATATTTAAAACATTTAAAGGCTAACATTTGATGAATTTATTTTCTGTGCAATTCAGAATTATTTTATATTTAAGGCTATTAAACTAATGTTATAACCAAGACTCACTATTTTTCAAATGTATTAATTTAGTAAAAATAGGAAGTTGATTTGTTGTTGAGCGAAACTAATACAAATGGGCAATCAAAAAGTAAGTTTTTTTTTTTTAAATTTTTTTTATTGAATTTGAAGAATTCACATAGTGCTATTTTTTGGCTTCAGTTTTAATATTGTAACATTAAAAAATTCTTTATATTAAATCTTGTCCATCTTAAGTGAAATTAAAATAACAAGATACTCATTTTTGCGGATATGTCTATATATACGTGATAATTTATTTCATTGTAGATTAACTTACTGTTAGGAGAGCTTGATTAGAGAATGCACAAATTCACTTTTTAGCCATGGTCAGGGAAACTGCTGCACAAATCACTAAGTTTCGGTGTAATGGATGACTGGATGGAATTTTGGAAGAGGCATGACCAGCTTGGTAGTTACACATAATTTATTTTTGTTTGATGAATATAATTTATTTTTGTTTGATGAATTTCTTAGCATACGTATCCTTAAATGGTCAAATACTAGAGGGGTGCTAAACCCACCCCATAGTTTTTTTTTATACACAATTACATCTTAATAAATGGAGAATATTTAGCAGAGAAAATATTTAGACTCGACAAAAAATGGCGTGTTGAATACGTCAGTGACAGAGCGCGTGGAGGGAAGATGCGCAGTCGCCTACTACGCACACCAACCACCTGCCGCATACCTGGCCATCAAACTGCACGATCGGAGGTTGAAAAAAAAGAAACAACCTACGTATATTGCAAATGCTGCTACTCCTAACTGTGCTCATATATAGTCTGCCCACTACAAGAACTCATTCTATTCATGGAAGTGGTTTACATGTTGTTTGTAGTTCTGTTGTATTTTCTTTTTATTTCTCTCCTCACTGAAAAATATTAATGTTTTACGAAGGAGTGAGGAAGATGCTATATAATTTATAAAAACAGTATTTAACTCTGCATTTGATTATGCGAAAATAACCATGAACTGATTGGTACCACAAGGATTAGCCATTTGGCAATAATTTGTGACATACATTAGCAATTCGTTGATAATTTTAGTTCTAATTTGGTTTAGATAAGGAAAGTATAATAAAAAAAAATACCAACAATTAATACTCTTGATTTTGAAGTTATATAAATTTTCTTCAGAATTATGACAAAAGTTCATCAGAAATAGAAAATATTTTTCATGATGATAAATAGCTAAGAACATAATAAAATTGTTCTAGTGCTGAAGAAGTGTAAGAAATTTCTTAAAATGTGTTGATGCGGTGGAATCCATTTAAAATTAAAAGTGTGGGTTATTCTAATGTATTTTAACTCGTTAAACTTTCCAAATGATTTTGGAAAAAACTATATTTATTGTCTGAAAATTCTACTAAAATTAGTTTGGTTCCATAAAAATTACTTTGTAGAAATTCCATAAATTGTGTCGGGTCTATCATTTTTCATGAAAAAGAGCAGAACTCTTCCCTGTTCAGTTGGTGCAATTTAAATACATATTGGTTTTAAATCTTTTATTGCTGCTTCAAGTGTATTTTTTCAGCTGAACTATTTTTAAACGTTGTCCTTCATTTTAAAGTAGCGGTAAACTTATAGTATATGCTAGAGAATGAATCATCTGAATAATCAATTTAACCACAAAGTTTCTGAAAACCTTGAAAGCCTAATTTGAACTGTCTGAATTATTAAATTGAATATTTGAGTGAGAAATTTGTAGGAATTTTTCCACTAGTACTTTTTATTTTCCTTTGAGTCATTGGTACTTGGGTATTTCTGTTAAAAAGTAAGACATATCTTATATGTATAAAGTTTTAATAAATCTGTAGCCAAAATTTATGGCCAGTTTTTAATGGCAACACTAAAGGTAAGTATAGTTTCATTTCGCTTTAAAATATTTTTGTTTTCTTCTTTCCTATATAAAATTCTGTTACTTTATCATGCATTTTATTCTACTGAATTTTAAAATTAAGACTAAGTAAATAAAAATTGTCTTTTAAATACCCTCATTTTTTCTTCCTTTCTGTTTTTTTCATCCTCACTTCTTGGCAAAATTAAAGCACAAGTTTCTTCTTTTACTATCTTTTTATATACATAGTCTTACTTTATATTTTTGAGTAAAATGTTAGATAACTTGGTTAAGTATTTTTGGCCAAATGTCCTCTTGCCTGTGTTTCACAGGTATGTATTTATAAACATATACATATTTTTAATAAAAGTAAACACTGTTCTTTCCAGTTTGTAATCTTATGTTGTGAATAAGTTGTTAAGAATTTAATTAACATTTCTAACATGTTTTAGATCATTGTACTTAGTTCGCTTTTATATTATTTGTTAAACAATTATTATTTGATTTATTTTGAAAGTGAACACAAAGTAATTTATTGCTTATAAAATGTATTTTATGTGCTTATGTAAAAATTGAAAAAATTCTTATGCAAACAAGTATAAATATGTATTTATTTATCTTGAAACTTTTGCATAATAATGTAAGTCATGTTTCCCGAGTTTTTAATAAATAAAACCTCAGTTTTATTTTAAAACTTTTGGATTAGAAAAACTAAGCTCCTTAATTTAGAAACTCTTATTTTATTTGATATCTGAGAGAAAACAACTGTATTAAGTTTCCAGTTTACATCTTGGGAGTGAAGAGTGCTCTCTCCAATGAAGAAGCTGCCTACAATGTTCTGCTATTGGATATTCAGAATCTATTTTGCAAGTTATAATTTTGCTGTTATTTTATAAATACATATAGATATATATATATATTAATTAAATGTCTTAGAACTTCCAAATATTTCTAGGTTCCATTTATTTGTACATTTTAGATAAAGTTTTGCTATTAAAATTTTAATTATAATGGTAAGACTAGCCATGTAATACACTTCTCAACAGTGACATTATGCTACCATGAAGGAGAAATTATGGAAATCTTTGGAATAAGACTTGTGGCTAAAGTATGCAAATTATCAGATTTTCACATGTCAATCAGTGAGAGGTCTCTAAGAAGCAACTTTTTATTACCGTGTGAAGCATGCATAATGTCTTGTGATGGGACTGCTAATTATCACCAACTGTTAAATGTCAAATGAGCTAGAATCCTTAAATTGCAGAACATACTAACTGTGTGAAATATCACATCATGCATGGATCAAAATGTCAGTGCTACTAAAATGATTACAGGGATAGCTTACAAACATAAAAAAAAAAAATAGAGTATCTAATCAGACCTCTAGAAAACTAACTGCGTTTTCTTTTGCACTTGCAAGCAAAGTTAGATTACTTACTGTGCACTGAAAATAGAATACTGTAAACTGGTATAAAGATGGTATTACCAATATCATGATCAGATGTTAAGGAAATGCCAAGTAGCACAACTCCGTTGCATTGTGTACGGCAGTTACACTATAGTTTACTATAGACCACGTGGCATGGACATTAAGAAATTAGCAGTATGCTTTGGATCCTTCCTACTGAAGTGTTCTTCATACCATTTTCCAGGGGCACCGGGATCATTATAAGGGTTAGCAACGTTGATTACCTTGCTGATGGACCCAGCCTTGAATTTTTGAGAAAGCACGGATGTTTGTGCTGATGGATCCAGCTTCGAATCCTGGAGAAGGCATGGATGTTTGTAAGTTTATATTTTCGGTTCTAGCATAAAGGCTGTCAAAATACTGGCAAGCTGGAAAGCCCTCTCGAATGGTTTGGTAATAGGGAATGACAGGTGGGAGGCCCTTAGACCATACCCCAAGGTGTTCTTCATTAAAACTGGGATGAAGCTGCACAGTTAGTGCAGTGAGACCTATATAACCGATTGTGAAATTCTTGTGCTATGCTTACTTGTATCAGTACCCATACCGTTTTTCAGGAAGACACTATCAGGCAATTTATACCTAGTTACTACTATGCTTTGACACATACATATGGAACTGTAATTTATGTACTGTATGAATTTATGACATTTCTCAGGCGAGCTTTGATAAATGAACGGATAATATGCCAAGTCATATAGCAGCATGCATTTTTGTATATTACATACATGCTGTTAATAAAAATCATGAAAATTTGCATGTTATTTCCCTTGTTTTTGATTTGTAAGACATTGTTGCTACTTTTCTGGTATTTCTAATTTGCATAATCCTGCATCTCTTTATTCATGATATTACAGTTTTACTGTTGAGGAGTGTAAAAGTTTCATGACTTTTAAAATTTGGAATTCCTAACGACATTGAATATATATTTTCTCTGCATATGATTTGTGTATTATTTTCTTTTTTGTGTTCTTTTGTGAAACTGATCATTCATAAGGATTTTTTTGTTTATTAAAAAATATATTGCTAATTTTTTTACTTTGAAGTCGCACAACAAGGAAAATTAACTATATGTCAACTAAATTTATGCATAACAAGATATAGTGATGATATTATTTGCATTCTAAGTGATTAATATATTTTGTAATTTTTAAATATAATAAAACTAAAATTTCCATAATTTCATTTTTATGGGTATATCCTCTCCTTCTTCAGAAGTAACATTCTTAAAGGAAGTCATAGTTTTCATATTTAGCCTCTGGCTTCTGTTTGAATTTTGGGTGGATCAGTTCAAAAGCAAGTAAATGTATCAGGCTGGGTGTAATTTTTTGTATGGAAGTGAAAGCATAGCTTCATTTTAAAAAAAAAATCATAAAATTACTCAATTCCTAATTTATTTGCTTAGAATTTCACCTTAAAACTTGAGTGACCACCATTTGTAATTGAATCAAATAGTAATCAGTGCACATTTTTTAAAACTCTGTATTATCTTAGTGTTAGAAATCAAAATTATCAATTCGTTAAAGTGATAATTTGTTCTAATTTAACAGCTAATTTTTTCCTCAGTTTAAATTTCTCTGGAAGGAAATAATAAATTTTCATTAAAAAATATTTTGAAATTTTAAAGGATTTTTGGAAAGGCGGATGTGATTATTTTAAGACTTTGGAATTTAAAATGTATGTTATAACTTATTTTAAAAGCCTGCTTTGGATAAGAGCATAATCATTCCACTTTAAAGTCATCTTTTTAGTAGTCTCAGCATCTTTTTCACACTGATAATATTATGCTCTCATGAAATATATTTCGCAGCGTATCCAGAGTTTAACTATTACACCTCAGAAAATGGATGGAAATGCACAACCATAGCTGGTTCTCTTGGTAAAATTTTTATTTGCTGAAATTGCCATTTGGAAAACAATTTTTTTAATTGGATCGTAATGCTTTTTTAATATATATAACATAAACTTATCCATACTAACTTATCCATATTTTATATAACATGGCCACACTTATCGATCTGGCATGATCGTATAATATATTACTTGTCTTATCTTTTTTGTTATATCTGTATTGCGCAGAGAGCAGAAGAGGAGAAAGAAAAAGATAAAGAACGCCGTCCACGTAGAAGAGAATACGAGTCTCCAGAGCCTCGATCTCGCGACAGAGACAGAGATCGAGACCGTGACAGAGAAAGGGAAAGGGAACGTGACAGAGATAAACGATGGTCTAAAGAACGTTCATTGGGAAGAGAGGAAAGAAGCAGCCGGCGAAGGCGTAGTCGTGAAAGAGATCATAAGTCTCCCCGTGAATCTCCTGTAGTGACTAGAGAGCATAGAGAGAGATCAAGAGAAAGACAAGTTGAAAGACAAAGATCCGTTTCCAGGGATCGTAATGACTGGAACCGAGAAAGAGAACGGTCCGATGAAAAGTGAGTGTAAACTTTTAAGTATTTATCATTATGTACTTTTCCATTGAATATTGTGTGTAGCGTTACTATCAAAATAAGTGAAATGTAGTACAATTAAAAAAAGAGAAAGCGTGAAGTCTAATGCTTGTAATCTAATCTTTGGGCAGTGTTATCTGTTACGTTGCTACTTTTTTTTGGGGGGGGAGGTGTATCGAATGTAATATTTGTATTTTAAAAGAAAAAAAAACTTTCAGATTTTATATTATGCTCAAAGGAGCATTTTTTAATTTACACATGCACACACACGTTTCAAGAGCATTTCAGCAAAAAATATTTTAAAAAGCATATTTTTAGAATTTCTGATAGTCTTGTTTACTGGACACAAAATATTTTGTTCCGTACAGTGTGTTTGTTTGAAATCGTTTATTTTTTTAATTAAAAATTCATTAGTTTTACAAAATGTGAAATAGATAATTAAACTTCCAGGAGCCCATATTCAAGTGGAGGACTATATTATTCGAAATTTGATGCTCTAGGTACCATTGTTTTTTTCACAATGCGAGAAACATACAAACATAATGAAGATGCTTCATTATTTAATTTCTTTCAATATAATACAGGGCGAAAGTATTCGGTGACAACTATCTGAAAAGTGATTTAATACAAAATGCTCTTTCGAGACTAACAGCACTTCTCGGCTAATAATCTAATCTCTAATAATAATATGTAGCTTTAATGATCATACTTGCTTTTCAAAGAGCACTTTTTAATGCTATTCAGTTTATTAAAGGATAAATTCCGTCTTTTTTGAAATTTTAGATGGATTGTTGCAAAAGTGTGAAATCTTGTTCAAAATTAAAAGTTAGAATATCCATGTTATAACTTGTAGAGAAACAAAACTAACCAAGAAATTATAAAAATTAGTTCAATGAAATCGTGTCTTGAGATTTCGTTATTTTCCAACAAAAGCAGCAGTTACGTAATTGACTTCAATTTTTTTTTGAAACAAAATGCTTTATTAAAAAAGTCAGAATGAACAAAATTTTTGAATTTAACCTAAAAAGTGTGATAGATTAATATCTTGGAGATTGCATAATTGGGTGATTTCTTCAGACTCTCCACATCAGTTAAACAATATTAGTGATAAGTGTTTGTGACAAGCATAACAATTTCATGTTTTTAAACAATTTTTTATTAGTAAAAATGGTCAGTATGGCTAAAGTTCTTGTCAGTGCTGCTTTCTTTAAAAATGTTTCGTTAAGCTCCCCCGCCTTCCCCCTACACGACCCCCCTTGAAATTTTGTAAATTTGTTTTAATATTTTTTTTTTCTTGTTTTAAGAACAACCACTGTCTCCAGACCTAAGGAGAAAGAGTATGATAAAGAGGAGGAAGAAGATGCATATGAAAGAAAAAAGCAAGAAAGAAAAATACGTGAAAAAGAAGCTCTGTATCAAGATGTAAGCTTATTTTCTTATTTGCTTACATTCTGCAAGTTCACCTTTTACAATTTTTTATGAAATTAGTATTTTTGTGTTATCTGAATGGGAGATTACATTTACCATTGAATTAGTAATTGCAATCTCGTGCAAAGAATTTTCCCCAAAATATACTTTGATAATTTAAGTGTTCTGAAATTGGTCTCTCTCTCCCCCCTCCCTTTTCCCCCCTGCTCCAGTTGATTTTATTTTCTCAGCTCTTTTTCATTGGTAAATTTATTTGTAATTTTTTTTTAAAGAGCTTGGAAATGAAACTTAGTTTTAAATTGAAGTGAAATATTTAGTTTATCCCCTTTTTTAATACTGTTTTTAAACTTTTAAAAATAATTATTATTGAATAAATTTATCATCTAGCAAAATGATTTAGCACTATGTCATGTAAATGCTAAATTATTTTCTTTGAACAGCGTCTGCGAAACTGGGTTGCAAGAGAAAGGCGGAAAGCTAAAGAATATGAAAAAGAAAAGATAAAAGCTGAAGAACAAAAAAAAGATGAAGTAAAACCTATTTCTTTTCCTTTCAGTCTGCATGAAATAGGCAGTAAATATTTATATTGATTTTTTTATGTGTTATCCATTAAAAAATATTTTAATTTAAAGGCTAAAGAAGCAAGACGATTGAAGGAATTTTTAGAAGATTATGATGACGAAAAAGATGATCCTAAATATTTCAAGTATGAATTGACAGTTTATACTGAAAATTTTTCCATCTTATATTTAAAGAAAAAAATTTAACTTTTATTTTTTATTTTTAATAGGGGAAGTGCTCTTGTTCGAAGAATGAAAGAACGGGAAAAGGAAATTGAAGAAGATATGCTTGATCGTCAGAGAGAGAAAGAAGAATTAGATGAATTGCGTAAAAAATTGGTTGAAGAAGGTCATCCTGATCCTGAAGCGGAAGTAGAAAGAGTTAGTTTTGCTCTGTTTTCTTACGAAAATCCTGTACCCAATCTATAACATTATTTTGATATGAAACAGATTAATGATGAAGTAAATTTTCCAAAATTTTCATATTGTGTGAAGAACTATAAATTACAGGTCAACAAAATGTTCTAAATATGTAAGCTAAGTGCTTTGTAAATGAATCTTGAACTATATGGATAAATGAGATAAATTTTGAATAAAATAAGAGATTGGTTTTGCTATTTATAATTATCTGGGAAGGACATAATATTTAGTGGAAGAATTTTAAAACTTCATACATTGCCTGACATAGAAAATGCAACACCATAAAGATTCAGCCCTATAAACATGCAAATTTTGGGGAATACCTAGCAGAACAATTCATGCATATGATCTAAGATACAAGTTGGGTCACAAATTCTATTGTGAGGTGAGAAGGAAATATCGGATGAACCAACAGTTGCTACTGTTTACTGCTTAGGGAACCCACAATTCGAGAAGTTAACTTTCCAGAAGGATGCATGTGAATGAAGAGGTGTCTGCATGACGATACCGTAGGCAGTTTCAGGAAATGGACGATTTTACAAAGGGTCAAATTGTACGCTTACGTACAGCTAGTTGAGCTTACCATAATATCACTGCACAAAGCACATATACATGTATCCACTGTGCATAGAATTTTAGTCTAGCTGGATCAGTGAAGGAAATGTAAATAGCCGGGAAAAAACCAGGCCCACTTAGACATACTATTGACGGCACAGATCTACGCATATGGAAGATAAGCAGTGGCAGTCCTGCAGTTCACTACTGTGGGCATGCAGAATTGACTACCATGGACCTTGCAGAATACTCAGGGAACTTTGGATGGTATTTAGGACGAAAGTTTCTTGACATTTGGCTGAAAGCGGCTTGCACACAAGCCACTCTCATTAATGCCAAATCTTTGACTCAAAAGATTTTGATTGTGTGTCCAGTGACCCACTTGAACATCTGACTGGCACAATTACGGTATTCCACGAGTCTCTCTCTCTCTTTTTTTCTCTTTTTGTCTGATGATAGTGACCTGTTAAGAGTCTGGAGGTATTGAGCCAATCCTTTTACTGTTGCTGAATGCCATACCATTCATCATCATGGCGTAATGGTTTGTCATCAGTCATGGTAACAGGTCACTCCTGTTGTGCATCAAACACACACTGATAGCATGGCAGCACGTTGATGAAGTGCTACAACAATTTTTGATACTTTATCTTCAGCAGCTGTAAAATGGTATTTTCCAACAGGATATACACACAAGCATTCGTTGGTTCACAGGCTTTGCAATATGCCTTATTGCTTTCTTAATCTGCAATGTCCCCTGATCTTTCGCTGATTAGGCAAATCAATCACTGTTTATCTGCTCTGTCCCAGCCATTATCGGAACACGAACTTCCGTCCCTCAGGAGACTAACTGCACACTAATTGAATCTGTCCGCATAAGGTTATAGCTTACATTGCCACAAGAATTGTTCATACATCTTACTAATTCCCTGTATGTTTCAGCACTGTAGGAATTTATCTTCCTATAAATAACATAACTTATTTATATATGCATGCTCTGTCTGTGTATCATTTGATATCTTATTTTACCCAATCTTTAGTAGCGGTACATTTCTATATGAGGTAGTGTATCTGTCTCAGCCTCATGTATCATTTATAGTGGTGTTCCTATACTTTTTTTTTTTTTTTGCGGGGGAGGGAGGGTGAGGATTTTTTATTTTGAACATTAGAAAAAGCCAGCTTTTTGTATACAAAAAAGGCATTTAAAATGTATGTTGGTATGTATTGAATATTTTCTGAAATATAGATTATTTCAAGGTAACATATATATTTGTGTCAGGGTATCTTTTTAGGTAGTTTTGTTGCTGAATCCATATTTAACACTAAAATTAAGGTGATACATGTTTGAAATTTAAAAACCTATTTTAAATACATTTTCTATAAAATATTTATGTCCTTAAAATGTAAGACAGGTTAATGAATATTGTGGATTCTCATGTAAAGTAACGAGTTTACTAAAATCCGTTATGAATGATGTTTTTTCTGATGTTAAGAGTATTCAAAATATTTTTCTCACTATCTGGTTTCTTGACGGAATAAAGATATTGTTTTACAAGTCAGTAGGAATGTCACATTTGATTTTATCATTAGAAAATGCTGTAAAAGTACATGGGAAAGTCTAACCAATAATCTGAAAATTGTTAACTGTGATCTACAAAAAAAAAAAAAAAAAAAAAAAAAAAAAAAAAAAAAAAAACAGCATTGGCCACATATGGCCCATAGGCATTTGATCTACTGCTTCTCTGTATGTATTGGTATTATTATAAAATTCAGATTTTATTCTTTCAGATTATAAGCACATTTAAAAAGAAAATTTCTGGTATGGTCCTTTATTTTTTTGGCCTAGCCATGACATTTTTATAAGCTTTATAGCCACTCTCATTCATTTTTTATTAAGAATAGTGTAGATTTTAAAGTCTGTGATAAAATTCAGTTAGGTATAGTAGTCAATCTATTTCTGAGCATAGTATTCAACCAGTGATTTAAGAAAAAAATTTACATGTTTCATATAGATGTTCTGTATTTCCCTGAAATTTCGTTTGTAGTTTTTATACCTGCTTGTAGATTGCTTCAAGTTATTCCATTTTTAATATGATTAAAATTTTCAGAGTTGCTTTGTGATGCTTAATTTGTGTGTGTATATAAAGTTCTTGAGTTTTGATTGCACGCACATATATATATATTATATATATACGCATAGCAATTCCTTCAAATTGTATTTTCTACTGAGTGGAGTTCGGCTTTGTGTCTAAAAATTTGCTGAGATGATATGCCACATTTCAGTTTGGTGTAGATCCTATGGATATCGATAGATTTGCCAAATTATTTGCTACATTTTAAAAAATATTAATATTTTTTTCACTTGAAGATTAGATATTTAAAATGAAGAAATAAATTTGTTTCTGTGATGATTTATGTTACATGATTCAGATTTTAATAAATTTAATTGAAACTTGAGTGTATTATTTTTTTCTGATATAATTTTATGAAGACTGGTCTTCTTTCAGCATGTTTGCTATCATTATATAAAATAGCTGTGATTTATAGTGAAAATCTGTCCATTTCAAGAGAATGGTATATCGTCTGTGCCAAAATATCTTCAGCGAAATATTTCTGCCCCTTTGAAAAGAATATACCAAATCTATTTTAAATGCCCTTTTTTTTATATATATAACTATTTTTGTGTATTTAATGAAATTTCAGTGTAATATTCAGTCAGTCATGTATTTAATGAAGTCTTAAGATTAGTTTTGCCGGATTTTTGAAATTCATATTGGCATTTTTTGTTCATCTAATAGAAGTGTTACAAATTGTGTAATTTATGCTTTTGTATAAAAAAGCTGGGACTTTAGCTAGTAAAGAATTTTAATGTCTTCATAAAAAGCTAGTGTAGGTAAATCTTGCTGAACATCTTTATGTGATGAAGTACCTGAAATGGTTCTTTTAACGCATACAATTATTTATCCCATGATGTTGTAAAATCTTCTGAACATAAAAGATCTCCCAGTGCACAAATGTTAATAATAATTTAAGATGCTGTTGTTAGTAGTTTATATGTATGTTAGCTTAAATTGAATTAAAAATTAAAGGTTGTATTTTCATTATTCAAGAGAGGATTTTCTTTTCTCTTTTTAATTTTTTTCTCTTTTTTAGTATATCATATCTGAAACAACTTAAATATATTTTCAGTTGTTATTAGAAGAAAGTCGGTTAATGGAGCCACCAAAACCAGAAACGCCAGAATCTGATCAAGAACCTGAAATTCAACCATCCCCTGTTAAAATGCGGCCTATTTCTAAAGCAGCTTTGTCTCCTGTGGAGGAAAAGGAAGATAGGGTGATATCAAAGAGACCTGTTTTGGAAGATGATGTATCCCAAAATAGCTTCTCAGGTTTTTCTGATGTCATAACACAACAAGAAGAAGTTAAATTAATGGGGTTTACTAGTCTGAGGCTGGGTAAGTTTTTTAATATAGTCTATATAATTGTTCCATGTTCCCTTTAAAATTTAGCAGGAATATTAAGTCTTTGATGCAGTATTCTAAGATACAGATAGGAAAAGTTGTTTCTAATTCTGTAAGACAGTTTGTTTCAAAATACAGTTGAATCTTGTTGGAAAAACTTCAAGTGACCATAAATTTGGTTCATGATATGATATTCGATCTGATTAGAAAAAAAATGGATAATTTCAGAAGACAGTAGTGATATAAAAATTAAAAGTCAGTTATAACTATGTGCAATTACAAAAGTTCTTTTTCATTGTTTTTCAGTATCACAATACAACAATAATTTTACACAAAAAAAAAAAAAAAAAATTACTTAACCAAAAAGTTAATGGTTTAGGTCTGTCTCTGGAGTTGCACTTTTCTCATCTAAGATACGCATTTACAGTTATGATATAAAAATCAAGTTAGAGAGTGCTATCTGATAGCTCAGTCAAAGAACAGATTTGAAGCTCTTTGTCTCAATGGATCAGTGGTTCTTTGGCTCAGTAAGATTTCGTAATGTATCCTTATTGTGTGTTCTTTTTTCCCAAAAACTGAATGCTACACCTGCCTCATGTAACCTTTTGTTTAGAACATAGAGAAAGGTTGGAGTGAAGGTAAAAAAACAGTAACCAAAAGGGTTTTTTTTTTTTTTTTTTTTTTTTTTTAAATTTTATTCTGATATTGTAAGCAGAGTGAATTTAAGGATTAGTAATCTTAATTTGAAAACTGCAGAAATTCTGAGGAAAAGTTATTTTTAGTCTAAGATAAATAGTTAAAAATTTCAGTTAAAGTCATTCAGTTACATAAGTCAGTTAAAATTTTCAGTCTGCGATAATTACCAAGTGCAGTGTGTCCAATTTATGTACATTTTGAAATTCACTGTAGCTTTATAAAATATAGCATTAAGTCTACAGAAGAACGGATGTGATCAAAATTTGTTCGGTATAGCAGGGTTGGATTGTATTTTATGTGATATTAAATTTTTTTAATGTATTACCAATCAAGCAGTGATTTATCATCTGCATTGTGTAATTTAAAGATTTTATTCTGAAATTTGAAAAAAGCATTTATTTTGCTTACTTTTTTTTTTCTTTTGTCATTCATTGTACATATTTAGGGAAAATGATTTATCTGTCCTTCCTTTTTCTGCATTAAATGAATTTTTGGTCTGTAAAATATGCTGATTTTTTAAAAAATATTATTAAAAGCATTTGCTAGATTCGACATTAATAAATACTTATTTTGATTATAATAAAACACTTAAAATTTAAATGAACATGTAAATTTTACGTTCAGTATCAAGGTTTACAATGCATTGTTTTCAACTTTTCTATTTAAAAACAAATATGTGCCGAAAATTGTTTGTTATTTAATAGAACATAATTTTTCAAACATGACTTTAGTAAAAAATATATGTGTAATATTTAATTCTTTTGACACTGCACAATGAGATCATTTGCTTTTATTGCAGACACCAAATTAAAAAAGTTCTAGAATATTATTATTACAGTCAAATCTCATTAATTCCCCTCCCCCCAAGAATTCTGAGTGAAAGTATTCTAAGTAGTAATGTGCAAGCTAAACACTGATTGTACCAAATGTTTTTTTGTGACACTGGTTAGTTGTTGATTTATTAAAACAAAGCATGCAAGATCTATCTTCTGTAAGAAAAGGATACATTTATGGAGAATTCTCTATGCCATAAAATTAAATAAATAAATAAAAAAATCTATGAGTCAGCTTATTTAGCTCGCATTAGAATTCAAGGAAAATAACTAGTGTTTTGCACTTCAGTTACTTAGTAATGTTTGATGCTTCACACCAGCTTGTACCAGATAGTCAAATGTAAAGAACCAAATAAAGAATTTTTTTTTTAAATCATGGGCAAATAAATAATGTATTGTATGATTGTATCTATTATTTTGGAAAATATTTTATCTGTGCAAATATTTATAAATTTGTTTGATATTTTATAAACATGTTAGATGTTGGTACATTTCCAGTAGTTTGGGTGTGTAATAATCATAGTTTAATCAAAGTACACAACCTGCTCATGCAATGGCAACATAAAATTACAGGTATTAAGGTGCTTAATATATTAATGCAATTTAACAGTTTTATACAGAAGGAAAGGTAAAATTACTTATAAAATTACTTATAGAATGCAAGTTGCTAATTTTTGTAAATTCTTTAAAGATTCCTAAACTATCTCTGTTTATTGAAAACAGCAAAGATTTATCAACATATCAAAAGAAAATATTCTTTAATTTTTAAATAAGGGTTATATGATACATTTAAAAAATAATAAATAAAATATCTAAAATGTTTTTCAAAATCGTTCGATAATTTTTAGTTGTTCTCTTCTACCTGTGTACACAGTGATCTGTTTTTGCTTTTAAAAAAATTGGAGAACTTCCCAAACCTGAGGTCGTGCCCAACTTCGGTGTTGCTGATTGACTGGCTATCTGCCAAATGTATCTCCTCTTTCTTTTTGCAGTTAGAATTTTTACCTCAGTTTTCTTCCATTGCTGACAAATTCCACAAGCAAATGTTTTAAAATTGAGTTTAAGGCAAAAAGTATCATGATTTGTGTATAAAAATCATTAGAACTTGGAATACAATATAGATCCATAATTAAGATACAATAAAATGACGAACAAATATTAATTTAGAAGGTCAAACAACAAAAATCAGCATTATATTTTCAAATTTTCACTGGACTATTTTCGATGGTTTTACCCAACCATCATACTCAGCTGCAAAAGTGCTAATGAATAAGTTAGGATATAATGATTAGATAAGAAAGCCTGGACAGGAGATAAACTATTGGTGCCATCTGTTGATAGAACCAGAACTAAAACATAATTCTTTAAAGGCTGAAGGCAAAGATGGATTGGAATTAGGGTCGTTAATTAGAAAAAGAATTTTTTGAGGGGAGATGTAAAATGCCTCTAGAAAATCCAGTTTACCAATAGATGTTTTTTTGAATAATTTTGGCAGCAAAAAAATTGAAAGTGTGATTTTCGGACCAACAATATTAGGCAACAGAAGACTTTTGTGTTTCCTTTTTTCTAACATATGCCTCATGTTCCTTGACGCGAAATTTATGGCTCTCTTAGTTTGGTAAATGTAAATTAAACCACACTGGCAAGGAATCTATAAATACCACAGGAATTCATATCTGGAATGGGGTTTTTGAGTATGGAACTCGGAATTTTATTGATGGGAGAATAAACGACCTGGAAGTCAAATTTCTGCTAAATGCATGCAATTTTATAGTTAATTGACGGAAAGAAGGGAATGACAACTGAATTTTTATAATCTCCTAAAACAAGAGTGTGCCTTTTGGTGTATTGAGATGATAATTTTGTAACAGCTTTATCAATAATGTTGGGTGAAAAGCCCCTGTCAATAGCTATTGCTTTTAAATAATTTAGTTCTTCTTCAAGGGATAGTTTGGAGAAGCAAACTTGAAGAGCACGAAAAACATGGGAATAAAATGAAGCTAACTTTTGTTTGGTCGAATGGCATGATTTAAAGTGTGGTGGAAGGCAAACTGATGAAGGTTTATGGTAAACTGTAGTACTGAAGTTGGATGTGTTACGTGTGACCAGAATGTCGAGAAACGGAAGAGAATTGCAAGTCTCAAGTTCAAAAGTGAACTGAATAGCAGGATCAATAGAATTCATTGTTGAAAGAACTTTATTTAAATCATCTTTATTACCTTCAAACAGAGTAAAAGTATCGTCTACGTAGCGGAACCATGCCGGGAAGTTTAAAGTTTCAAACAATTTTGATTCATAGTAATGCATGTAGATATCAGCCAGGATGGGACTGAGGGGCTTTCCATGGCTAATCTCTCAGTTTGCTAGTAATATTTATTTTGGAAAGCAAAATGTGTTTGTTTGAAACAGAGAGAAATTAGCCCATCAATTTCGATGCAAGAGAAATGAAATTCGCGAAGTCTGGTTGGTTTCTAGACATCTTAAAGCACCCTCCACTGGAACATTGGTGAATAATGATTTTACTAATAGAGTTGAAAATCTAGAAACTAAATATTTAGCTAACGGATACGAGGCAGTACCTAAATTCGATACAATAGGGCGGAAAGGAATACCACTTTTATGAATTTTGGGAAGAGCATATAATCTGTCACAATTCGCAACAGATGGGATAAGTGAATGTTTTAAGTTGCTTGAAAGGATTTGTGAAGATTTGATCGCAGTTTTAATTTTTGACAGGTCTGAAGGTGAAGGATCTTTAGGGATCGGATTATATGGTCCTTTGTTTAAGATTTTAGTGACACCATCGATGTAAGTGTTCTTATCCATGATAACTATCTGGCCACCTGTGTCGGCCTTTGAAATGATAATATCCGGGTTAGAATGAATTTTGTGCGTTGTAGCTCTTTCTTTCGCTGTTAGATTTAGTTTCAAAGGTTTATTATTGAGTTCCACATTATGAGTGATAAGATGCCTAATCATTTCTTTCTGTGAATCTGAAACTTTACTGAACTTGAAAGCTTTTTCGATAGGAGCCAAAATGTTTGGAATCGAGGGTTTAGTGATGGTAAATAAATAATAAAGTTAAAATAATATTTTAGAATTCTGTCTAAATTTCTTTTGATAAACTAACATTAGAAATATTAACTATTGGCTTAATGTTTACAATGGGAAGATTTTTTGAACTATTTGAACTGGAAGACTGTGAAAGAAGTTATTCGAATTTAACTGCAAGGGTGTTTTTATGACGGTTAACTGCGTTCTCCGCTCTATATCAAGACTTTTGTTCAAGGGCAGTGAATTTTGGATATGAATTAGCGAGTTCCGTATGAAGCTTATAGAGCTCATGTTGAGATTTGAATAACTGTTGACGTTTATCCCTTATGATGGACCAAAGTAAGGCTAGCTTGCAGTTTAACCAGAATTCTTGAAACGTGACTGGAAGTTTTTTTTTTTTTTTTTTTTTTTTTTTTTTTTTTTTTTTTTGATTAGATTAGATTTGATTTGAATGAATTGGGGATCAATTTTTTACTTTTACACTTAAGTAAAAAGTAAAGATGATTCAGGAATTTTTGTCATTTCAGGCGTAATTTAGTGAAACAATGGATGAAGGCATCATAAACAATGCAGAAAATCAAACTAAACTAACTAACCAATAATAAAGCATGCACAAAACAGCAAGAAAATTTCACACTGAAATGAATAGAAAACAAAATATTTGCAACTAAAATGCATGAAATCAGATAAGCAAAGCACAATATTCAAATATGTGAAACGCAAATAGAACTTAAAAATTGAAAAAAAAGTACTTACCGAAACTCATGCAATCGCAAAATGGCGTTTACACCACGTGCAAAAAAGGAAGCGAAAAAAAGCCGTTTTCAGCTCCAAAACACATACAATCGTAAGATGGCAAAAACCACGTGGAAAAAAAGAAAGCAAAAAAATAAACCTGTTTGGGGCTTCTATAATTAAGATACAGTAAAATGCCGAACAAATATTAATTTAGAAGTCTAACAACAAAAATTAGCATTATATTTTCAAATTTTCACAGGACTAGTTTCGAAGGTTTTACCAAACCATTATCCTCAGCTGCAAAAGCGCAAATGAATGAGATAAGATATAATAATTAGATAATATAAGAAAGCTTGGACAGGAGATAAGCTACTGGTGCCATCTGTTGATGAAACCAGAACTAAAACATAATTCTATAAAGGCTGAAGGCAAAGATTGATTGGAATTAGGGTCGTTAACAAAAAGTTTTTTGGGGGGGGGATTTGAAATGCCTCTAGAAAATCCAGTTCACCAATAGAAGATGTTTTTTGAATAATTTTGACTGCAGAAAAATTGAAACTGGGATTTTCGGACCAACAATATTGGGCAACAGAAGACTTCTGTGTTTTCTTTTTTCTAACATATGCCTCATGTTCCTTGATGCGAAATTTTAAGGCTCTCTTAGTTTGGCCAATGTAAATTAAACCACATTGGCAAGGAATCCTGTAAATACCCTAGAAATTCATATCCGGAATCAGGTCTTTGAGTATGGAACTCGGAATTTCGTTGATGGGAGAATAAACGACCCAGAAGTTAAATCTCTGCAAAATATGTGCAGCTTTATAGCTAATTGATGGAAAGAAGGAATGACAACAGAATTTTTATAATCATTCATTGCACTTTTGGAGCTGAGTATGATGGTTTAGTAAAACCATCGAAATTATTCCTGTGAAAATTTGAAAATACAACGCTGATTTTTGTTGTTTGACTTCTAAATTGATATAACTCCACTATAAGAATGGTGATGCTGCTTAACTGAAAGATTGTTTTGAGCATGGTTGCCTGAAGAATGTATATGTGCATGGTTGCAGTTTGGCATGTTCTACTACTAAAATGATAGTGATAAACATAAGTACTGATATTAATATTGTACAACAGATGTAATTCTATGAACTCTCCTTGATTGATCTTTCAATTGTAGATTACATACCGAAATTTTCATCGTAGGAAGGATCTCATTATTTTGTTATAATATGTATCATCGCTGATGTTTTGACTGACCGTGGCAAGTGACTTCACATGGCCTGTGACTGTTCGTCATAGTTCGGCAGATAAAACGTCCTGGTCATTTATACAAATTGGTTGTTTTAAGTTCCTGTATTCTGTTTTAGAATGTGTAATGGCATTGTTATTAAGAACAGTTTCAGGTGCTGTTGCATTTTATTACATGCAGTCCATGGCTAGTTTTTGTGGTTACTTCGTATCACTTGATTTAATGTATGACAAGATTGATTAGAGCGTATAATTTTTTTATGAGTCCTTTTAACTGTAATCTTATTCATAATCCGTAACTGCTGAATGAAGTAGTTATTTAATTGAAAATAAACTAGTTTACATTTTGCAAAGTTAGACTTTTAAACTATTTTTAAATGTATTTAAAATTTGTTCATAAATTTGAAATATTATTTAAGCGTGTGCATAAAGGGATTTTTGAAAAAAAATTAGAGATGTATATGAATTATAACTTTTTGCAGTGTTAATGTATTCTTTAGATGTTTGTTTTACGTTTTAAATGTGCATTACCTTAAATTTTAATTTTCTTAGGTGCAAGCCCTACTCAGCACAACTCGAGTCCTTCTGTCCTAGCTACGAACAATCACACATCTAGTAAGAGAAAAGTTACCGTTGATGATGTTTTTAATGTTAATGATGAAGAAACAGAGACAAGAAAGAAGAGGAAATTAATTCCTCTCGATGACACTCAAGATGATGGTCCCAAAACTCCAAATTCTGTATCACAAATGACAAACGAAGAAAAGCGGAAGCATATCAAAAGCTTAATTGAGAAAATTCCTACTGAAAAATCTGAACTTTTTGCTTATAATTTAGATTGGAAAGTAGTAGACTCGGTAGGCTATATTAGTATTTATTTTGTTTGTGAAATGAATATTTTTCCATACAAAACTTTACCAGCCCAAATACGTAAAAGGCAGTACATTATGCTTGATCAAAGTGTTCAGTATAAATATTTTCCTTTTGCAACATATGTAGATGCATGACAGGTATATTTGTTGCAAATGGTAAGAAAAGTTGATTTATTTGTAAAGATGTAAGTTTTTATATGTTAATATATTTTATATTCTGCTCTTTATTCAGTAACACAGAAGCTAATGTGGTTACTATATTAAAACAGAATGTGAAATAAAAAGAGAAGTGCAGATATGCAAGTCAATCTCTTATCAGAAAGTATCAAAATGAATCAGCTGTACAGGCTGTTATTTAAGAATTGTATTTGAATGGGTTGTCAGTTAAAAAGTATAACAGGAACAAGATAAAACAATTCCACTGTGCTTGTCTGCAACAACATTAGACCATTGGTGACCTAGTAGGTTTCTGAAAACGGAAGAATTGTTATGGTTAAAATTCTTTGTGTAATCAAAAACCCATTGACATATATGGTTTGCATAATCTGCCAGTGATTGAAAACTTAGTGGCAAGTGCAGATTTCCACTATAATACTACATAAAATTTAAAAAATAGACCAGACTTTGTATTTTTTATTTTTTGATGTGCTTCATCCACATAAAAATCTAGATCTTGCTAAGGCTTCTACTTAAACTTTAGTGGACTGGGTCTGGAGTTTACCTGACCTCAGCTTAAATAAGGAACAGTTCTTTCTCCTCAAGAACATAATTTGGGAATAGCCTTGAGCAAAGTTTTCTGGGTGGTTGTTCTTTGAGAAATGCGAGTCCGGTTTCCTTTTATTACAAACTGATGCTCAGGCAAATTGCCTCCTATGAAGGGACTATGAGTTTCAACCATGCCTCTCTGGGATTCAAACTATGGCTCTTTGGTATCACAGCCAGCTCCCTTAACCACTATACCGTCTGAACGGCCCATTTTTCTGTTCTATGTTATATTGTAAAGTGGAATACTTTATTATTGAGATTTTCTTGTGAATACAATTAAATTTGCTTTTCTTACAAATTATAAGTGTGGCTGGTGTACATTTTTGGATGGTTGAGTTGTAGTACCTGAAAAAAAATTACAAGGTTGTCTACCCCTTGGCTTATATGAGATCTAACTCATATAAGCCAAGGCGCAAAACTGGTGCAAATTGCATGTTACTGAACTGGCAAATTACTGAACTGGCGCAAATTTCATGAGCTATAGTATGCAAGAAAGTAGGTCGTGCACCACCGTGCCATTAAACTGTTCAGCCGTCCGTGTACCTGAACTGGCGCAAAATGTATATCTTTCATGACATATATATTTCAGTGTAACAAAATGAATTGTGAAATGATAAACAATGTTTAGGTACAAATAGTAATTTTAAGACATCTAGGGTGTAATCATAATCAATTGATCAATTGACAAAAATAATTGCATGATGAGTTTTTTAATTTTATACGAAATTATATTTGAAACTTGTGAACGTAGCAAAGCTTTACAGGGAACTGAAGTAACAGATCATCCAGTTTCGTCAGAAACAACTGGAAAAAAAAAAAAAAAAAAGACTAACGTTACAATCAAAGGAAAAATATTCGATCTAGAATAACTTGTTCTAATAATAACATGCGGCGTTTTATGCACAAAGTCTTTGCCACAAGTCAAACTCGTGGCTTTTGTTTATGGCACAAATTCTTTACCATGAGTCAGACTCGTGGTTATGGACCAGAGGGTTAAAAACAAGATAGATACATAAATAAACATAAAATATGTATGTGTACCATGAGCAGCGACATATATTTTGTTCCTTTAACACATAACATTAATCAAATAATTGTTTATAATACCAATTTGTTCCTTTAACACATAACATTAATCAAATAATTGTTTATAATACCAAGCAGTATTATAAATATGACCACATATTTAGATTAATTGTGGAAAATATGGTCCTATTCAGTTTAATCATTGTATTATGAGCCTACTGAAAAACTAGCCAGATTATTATTAGCTTTATTAGCTGCCAGCTGTTTTTTTTTTTTTTTTTTTTTTTTTTTTTTAAATCTCTTCTCCTGATAGATTACTGATTCTTCTGGTTTATAATTCTGAAGTTTTACTAAAGTAAATGCTTCTCAGGAATAAATAAAACTTAATATTGTACCAATTACATTTTCCACCTGTAGTGACCTCCAGCGTAATTTTTCTTGTTAAACTCAGTTATCTTAATCTGCTGTAGACCATTTGAAGAACTTTTTATGATTCAAACATCAGTATATAGTACATTACTCAGATTTTTTTTGTCAGTATCAAAGTCTTAAAAAATTGCAAAGTAAAATCAGCTAAATAGCATAAAAATTTAAAATATCTAAACAAGCATTAATATATTTTACGACAGAATCATATTACAAATAGTGATTTATAACTTTGCTATTGGATTGTTTAAAAATATTGTTACGTTATTTTCTTCCTTCATGTTCGTACGGAGTTTGTAAGGATTTGCAGTGAATAATGATGACACTACTTGATGAAATATCAAAACACACTTTATTAGCCAGTATTGTCAGGACAGCTCCAAAACACGTTTTACATTCGTCGATGAACTACTATAAACACGCTGACACGATCAGCAACACAGCCTTCAGGTTATCAGGCTATCACTGTGGAGACAGCTTCACTGCAAAGCACCAGAGTACAGCTCCCGACTCTGCTAGGTCGTTCTCGGAACTTCACGTACTCTCGAGACTCTTCATGCTACAACTCGCGATGCATTTGATGACACACAGTGCACAGCTCCCGACTCTTTGGTTCAGTCATTCCCGGAGCTCAACACGCTCTCTCGACGATGCACTAACCGCGATACACTATGAGACTCTTTCAGTGCACTCGACGACACACTTGGCACTCCGACTTCGCACGGACTGATGAACTCGAGACTATCTCGCACTTGATGAGGCAGTCACTCTCGCCCCTCTTGATGAGGCACACTCTCAATGACTGACCATTAGCTCGCTAGACGAGGCACACACTAACTGATTGCAGACTAGCATGGTTTATTGTTCTTTTGACTGGTGTTCGAGAACATTCTGGGCTAAACCAGTAAGAACTCATTCCAGAAGGTTCTCCGTCCATGGCATATCACCAAATGGGCGATTTCTCACCAAATGTGGCAACCCTGCCTTTCCCTGCCATTTTATGATAACCCTAAAACTGGTTTGCGGGGAACGTATCTTACAGCGCCTGTACATTTTGTAACAATATTTAATGAAATGTATGATGACCTTACCAAATAGCACTCTGTCACTAATATGCATGGTATTTGTCAGTTCTTATGCTTGTTATAATGTGAGTGATGTACTCAAGATGATTATAGCTGTGAAACACTCTTCAGGAGACAAAATTTACCTTTATTTAGATGCTAGGTTGTCTGCGAGGAAATGCTTTGTCATACAAGTGTTTAATTGTGAATGGCAGCTCTAATTTGGCTTGTGTTTCTACAAGTGCTTCTTCTGCAGACATCTGTTTAACAAGCTTAGTGTTAGTAATGCATCAGTGAGCTAATTCTGCCATCTTAGTGGAATAAGGGTATAGAGTATATTGATTATGCCTATCCCATAGCTATAAACAGTGTTGTACCATACTGATAATTGCTCAGTGATTCTATCCATATCCATAGTGTTAGAGTGGTGATATAAGAACAAAGCCTGAAATCCAGACATCCAGTATCTGGAATGATCTTATTGATTAAGCCTTTCCTTTCATACTGAGGATTGAAGTGGTTTATGAAATAAAATTAGCCAAAGAATGTAAAATTAAGAGTATTTTATAGAATATTAACATGAATCATCATATAAATAGTTCTATAACCATAGCCATTCATAAAGTAAATATTACTCAATTAGATTATCTTTTGAAATGGCATTGCTGCACAATGTAAAAGCATCTCAGTTTTCCATACTTCAAGGTTAAAAGATTTTTGTGACTCCTAAATGCAAAAGCATTTGAATATCCTTTAGAAGGCACTTTAGGTTATTTGAGTGTACATTGTCCTGTTTTGGCAATGTAGGCTGTAAACATATCAATTGTTCCCAAGAATAATTTAAAATGATGCAGATGTATTGAGTAAATATATATGTATTTTTGTGTTTGGAAATTTTTGTTTTGTTGTTGTTGAGGTTTTTAAAGCATTGCTTAATTAATATTCTCAGACCTTTGTTATAAGATCACTCCTGAAGATTGACAGAAGTGACATAACAAGTAGAGAATAACTTAAAACATGAAGTTATATAAGGTGGAAAAAAACAATATCTAAAAATAAATAGTGGTATCCTGTTTAAATTTAAACAATGGTGTTCCATTTAAAAATATTTGCATATTTTTATTTTTGTACAACATAGCACATAAATTTGATTCCAGACATAACATCACCTATAAATTAATATGTTTGAAATGCGCATCAGTAATATCATGCTATTGCTGAAAATCTTGTTATACAGTCAGAAGGTGTTAATTCAGACACCCATAATCCGGAACGATCTATAATCCGGACCTCAAAGCTACAGACTTACTGTGCATGCGTCGCGTTCACGTATGCGCACAGGCATTTACGAGTGCACGCAAGACCTTTACGGCTGCGCATATGTTTGTGCACATGCGCGTTTAATGTGTAACGGACGATATAAGCTGAGCTAAAATTATCTAATTCAGTTAATGTTGCAGATTGCGTTGTTCCTTAATCTTCGAATTGGATCCGGCTTATTATTTTTTGCAGACTGTTAGAGCAATTTCATAAAAGTAAGCTTGAACTTTCGATTATGTCAAATAGAATTTCTGATATATATTTACTAATATGTAATTTGTATCTACAAAGCGAAAGTATGTTTCGAATTCTGAAATCTGTTTATCAATTTCACTCTGCGGATTGGAAGTTGATCTGTCAGCACTATCCTTATCTTCAGGGCAGATGTTTTTATTTTATTTGGCTTATAATTCCTTACTAAGTGTAGTATTTCATCTCGATGTACTTTGTCTTTGATATGATTTAAATCAAGTTCCTCGTCATTATAATTTGCTTCCAATAGTGACCCAGAGGTTATTGAAAACGAAAACATTTTGATTGACAAATTAGTCGGTATTCTCAACACAGCAATTATAGGACTTGAACGGCGGAAATTTGTAACTAAACAAGAAATTATGTCTGTTTAATAGAATTAAAGAGAAAGTATTATCACATGAAACGAAGCAACTTACAGTGAAAGAAATGTTTAATAAAGTAAACAAATAAATATTAAGCTTTTTCTTTTTGTAAATTTTGATACCGTTAGATCATAATTGTTCTTTATTTCATAAATTATGGTTTCATATTTTTAATTTTGTAATTTCTGCATGCCATCTTACCAGATTTAAACTGATGATCTATAATCCGGAATCACCGAAGTCCCGATGAGTCTGGATTAACGACTTTTGACTGTAGTACCTAAAATACTTAACATGTCAGCTTTAAGTACTATCATGTTTTCACTGAGATTATTGCTCTAAACACTACTGGTAAAGATTGTGAGAGTTATTGGAGATTTGACTAAATTTATATTCCCTGGACCATTCTGTTCTCTTGGGCAGTTCCTCATCTGTAACACTTGCTGATATTCGTATTTCATGTTCTTATACCTACCAATTTAAGTGAAAAGCCACTGTCTGCATTAAAATGTCTTGCTGATCACACTAAGCTTAAAATATTTAGCAAAGAAAAATACAAATGCAATGACATCCCCCCCCCCGAAAAAAAATGGAAGCCAAACCTTCAATTATTTGCAAAAATGTTGAAGAATCAAAATAGTTGGTAACTGCGAAATAGTTGCAGTAGAATATTAATTAATTTTTAAAAAATTATGTGTTTCACTAATCAGATTGTTTAAAAATATTTCTGTATAACTGTATGTGTATAGATCACATTAATATTCTGAATTATTTGGAATCATTATGAATTTTTACTTCACAGTAATTTTTAGAATTTCTGAAATGGGTTTGCAGTCACACCTACTTCATAAATATTTATGTATTGATATTTTAGAAGAATTTCTCTCTGTGGCATCTCTTGAGCATTAATAATTGCAGTAACATATTTAAAATAAAAATGGCACTTTAGGTTATTTGAGCGTATAATGGCCTGCTTTGCCAGTTCATTTTATAGGTTATAAACATGTTTAAGAAAAAGTAAAAAATTATTTTTTCTCCCTTGTTGAAAAGTTTTGTAAAGCTTTTCATACAAGTATGAAGTTTTTTTAATAATAAATAATTTAAAATGTATTTCACTTCTTCAAAGCTGAAATAAGTTAAATTTTCTTTAAAGCAGAGATTCTTTTATTGTCTAATGTGTCATTTAACAGCCTCGTATATTGTGTTATAAAACGTTTGTTGAATTGCCTTTTCATTTGTATTTATTTTCCTATAATTCAAGCATTCAATTTAATAACCTGTATTTATCAATATGTACTGATTAATTATTTGATTAAACTTTAGCCTTTTCTCAGTTCATTTTCTTTAAATATGCTTACATATTTGTTGATTCATGCTGGCTGTTCCTGAACTGGATATCATTTGCATAGTTTAAAGTTTGTAATGTATGTTATTTTTGTGTAGGTGCTTATGGAAAAAAGAATTAGACCATGGATTAATAAAAAAATTGTAGAATATATAGGTGAAGAAGAACCTACCTTAGTAGAATTTATTTGTTCAAAAATAATGGCTGGTAGTGCTGCACAAAGTATATTGGACGATGTATCTATGGTGAGTTGTAATAAAAAATTATAATTTTACATAGTATTTTAAATAGAAGCCAGTGGTTATTATATCTAATATTTAAAATATGTTGGAAGCCAAAAAATATATTTTTCAGCTTCATTTACAAGCAAGCAACTTTTTACTTCTTTGTACAAAGTAAAGGAAGTATTGTAATTGTGAAATTTTGTATATGGAATTGCTATAACACGTAGCTGTGTACCTCCTCTTTTTGTTGCAATCGGCTGCACCAAACTTATATACACTGTCTGCAAATAAGGATCAATTTGAATACACATGCAAATGCCGATATCTGCAACCCTGATGTGTCTCATGCCCTCCGCCATTAAATATTGTGTAAAAAAACAACATTGGCATTAGTCACATTCAAGATGCCATGAAGTGCAGACTTATCTGACTTCAAGAAAGGTGTAATCATTGGGTATCACAGAAAGGGCCAATCTCTTAAGGGGCATATTTAACAAGCTGAATTACTCAAATTCAACAATAGCCTATGTGGTTTAGAAGAGGAATGCAAGTGTTGATTGTTGGAATGTGCCCAAGTTGGCAAACCCACTAAACTGGGAGTCTAAAGAAATTCGGAAGAACCACACCCACATACTGCAGGAGTTTCAACAGGCATCCATGAGTGTTATCTTGATGAATATACTATCTGTAAGAAGCTCATCTGCACAGTTTTCATGGTCGTGCTGCTGCCCATAAACCTTTGATTACAAAATCCAACCCTGCCACTCGGTTAATATGGTGCAAAGCATATTGACGGTGGGCCATAGAATCAGTTAAAATGATTTCTCTGGAGCAACAAATCAAGGCTGCCGTCTACCATTCCGATGGCAATTTCTGATGTCTGGTGTCTGCCCAAATAACACCTCCTGCCAGAGTGCATTGTGGTCACAGCAAAGTTCGAAAGTAGAATTATGGTCTAGGGGTGTTTCTCCTGGTATGGTTTGGGATAATTGGTCCAAATTTGTGTTAAGCTCAACGCCAACGCCTACTACACTCTTTTGGATGACAGTGCACTTCCTGCATTATGGCAGTTTTATGGGTTGGACCCATGTTACTTTCAGGGGGACAATGCCACCAGATAGGTCCACTGTTGATTGGTATAGTTGATATGATAATGGAGTTAGCTGAAGAGTGGTCTGCCCAGACCTGAACCTATCAAAAACTTTTGGGACAAGTTAGATCCCAAATTAAGGGGTGCAACAAACATTCAACATGGGTGAAGGAACTTGTATGTTGTCAAACCAAGTGGAAGAAAATACCAATAGCTGTCATGCGAGGTCTTGTGGAAAACATATCTCAGAGGTTTGAGGCTGTAATTGCTGTTTGTGGAGGCTCTACTGAATATGAATAAATTTTGTTTTTCTATCACAGGCATGCAGATACTCATTGGTAGATAGTATATATACCCACCCTCCTTACATGCGTAGATGAGCTCTATTTTTTTTTTTAGTGAAGGTGTTTCGAGTTTTTATATATTTTTGCTTTGCCTCGAAGTGACAACTGAATTAGGAAATGAGAAATATAGCTCTAATGAAATTCAAAGAAATAAGTTTAAATGAAGTGCAGCAAAATTGTGTATAATTTAATAGGTCGTACAAAGATATCATGTGGTATCCACATCAAGTTTTTAATTATTAGAATTTGTTGAAGACTGCATTATCTATGTTTTTGATTATGTCTGTGTAATATTATAAAGTTAACATTTAAAAGCAATGTGTGTTCTTAGTAATTTTTGCAATTTTGGTGATGTATATATAGTACACACTGGAGTAATTATGATATTTTGGATTAAATGCAAAAATGCTTCATACTGAATAATTTGAGATATATTTTCTATTTTCATGACTATTTCAATTTTTGTATTTACTTTAATGTAGGATAGTAATATATACTAGAACAGAAAAAGGTTTAATGCAGTAAGAATTTTTTCCCATAACTAAAATAAACTTTTCCAAAGTTCATTATCTAATTGTTAAATTGATGACTGATCCTTCTTCATGTGAAAAGGAGATCTGTGTTTATGGTAATGCATTCATATTGTGTTCTTATGTAAATTGTAAAAGTTGGTAAATTCAGTTCTCGCAGTGGTTAAAGGAAATTCTTTTACTTCAGTACTAAAATGGCTACTGCATATGCTTTGGCAAAATTGAATTTCTCAAATATTAGAAAACACTATACATAAAACCGTAACTTAAGAACATAATAAATAAGATTTATATCAAAATTAGTAGGATTTATTTACATTTAATATGAAATATTTTAATTACTTTTGGCAAAATAACATTAATTCACATTTGTGGAGGCCAAATTAAGGCAATTTGCTAAGGCAATAGAATCAAATACTATAGTGTCTTATTCTACATATTTCTGCCGCATGAATTCTAGTGAGCCGTTCCTCTTTGTCTTTTCTTTTGCCATTTAGGCCGCACACCAGAGTAATTTGATTTTGTGCACATTTGCGCCAGATATGGGATTACAAAGTTGTACAACTTTTTATCATCTCCTTTACAGTTTTAGCACCTCTGTTTGGAATTTGTACAAAGAAACATTCGTTTATTTACCTGGAGATTTCTTCCCAAACCCATTGTTTAGTTAAAATTCTACCTATGTTAGTTCTTTCTTTTTATGAAAATAGACTGTAGTCAATCTCAAGGATTTTTCCAGGTCCAACTATTTTATCTTTTGAATGTTTTATGATGCAACAAACTTCTCATATACGAGGCGTATTCGGAAACTAAGTACCGTTTTGAAGGGAAAAAAAAAAAAAAAATAGTGAAACAATTTTTTCGAATCCAATTTTATTTATACATGAAAATACATGTCTTAAACTATTTTTCAACATAGTTTCTGCCAGTGATCAAACACTTATCATAGCGGGTGACCAGTTTTTGTATACCATCGTCAAAGAAAGTTCCCGCCAGTTTCGATAACCACGACTCCACAGCGTTTTTCGTGTCATCGTCAGATCCAAAGCGCTTGCCACCAAGCTCGCGCTGCATGTGCAGGAACAAGTGATAGTCGGACGGCGCCAAGTCCAGGTTGTACAGCGGGTGATCGAGCTGCTCCCTATGAAACTGTCGAATTAACGATTGAGTGACACCAGCAGTATGGGGCCGAGCATTGTCATGGAGCAACACAATTCCTTTACTGAGCATTCCTCTTTGTTTGTTTTGGATGGCACGCCTTAGTTTTGTTAAAGTCTCACAATATCGTGCCGCATTAATGGTTTCACCTCTGGGAAGAAATTCAGTAAGCAAAACGCCTTTCCTATCCCAGAGGACAGTGCACATGATTTTTTGTGATGACATTGTCACTTTCAACTTTTGTTTTTTCAGAGAATGAGTGTGTCTCCACTCCATCGATTGTTGTTTCGATTCTGGTGTGAAAAGACACACCCAAGTTTCATCACCTGTCATAATTTGGTTTAAAAAGTTTTCTCCCTCATCACTGTACCGCATGAGAAATGTCAGGGCACTACCAAGTCGCTTTGTTTTGTGAACATCAGTGAGCATTTTTGGAACCCATCGGGAACACAGTTTGCGATAATTCAAGTGGTCAGACACAATGTGAAATTTATGGAAATGCCTCTGAAGGAGTTGTTTTGTGAAGCGTCTGTTCTTATGAATTGCTTCATCAACTTTCCTTACCAAATCATCGGTGACAACAGAAGGCCAACCACTCCGAGCCTCGGCGTGGACATTTGTTCGACCTGCATTAAACATTCTTACCCACTTTCTCACCATTCCATCACTTATCGCGTATTCACCGTAAACTTCTATCACTTGACAATAAATTTCGGCCGGTTTAACATTCCTCGCTTTCAAAACGGCACGAATCTCACATTCAGCGGGAGAACTAATTGTCTTAAACATTTTGAATGTGCACAGCAAACTGAAAACACAACATAGAGCAACCAAAATGGCGACAATTGAAAGTCAGTGAACAAGAAAGACTAGTGCGCATGCACGGGACGCCTACCACAGCGCTGCGATGGCGCTAGAATAAAATGGTACTTAGTTTCCGAATATGCTACGTAGTTGATCCAATCAAGTGTTACCTTTTCCTCATATTTAACTGCTTATTGCACCATCTTATGGAAAAACATGAGAACATGAGGTTAGTCCTTCAGCCTTTAGGAAGTGCAGTTCAATAAGAAAAGGAATTCTCGAGCCATGAAACCAATTATCAGTACGGAAACATTTTTAATGCATCTTTTTACACTACATTTCCATACACTTTCCTTTCCTGTAAATAATTTTGTATAGTGGCTGTTTTCAAATTTTTGCTCAGTATGCAAAATTCCATGCTCTTGGGAGAAGCACTGATTCTTTTCAGTTAATGATAATTTAAATATGGTTAACATTTCAGAGGAAAAATTAACAATGAAGAATACAAAAGAATGAATAATATCAGGATAATTGTAATACTTATTTTTAAACTGATGGAAAATTGAAAGTTGGCAACATTTTAAAATGAAAGTAATTAGTGATATAGTGATATTTTGAAGTCAAAAAATGGACATGAAAATAAAAAATTGGGCATGCTATAAATATCACAAAAACTAGTCCTTCTTTTCTAAATAATTATAAATTAAAATGTTAACCATTTTAGATGAAAAAAGAAAAATATGATATCATCGATGATATCATGGAGACAGGATCACAGTTAAATTCAGATTTTTAAAACTGTTGCAGGTTAAAAATCTGAGGATTACATTTACAACGGTGTGTGACTATTCTTCCAGTTTTAGCAATTGACTGAGGTGGCTGCTTTTAATCCTGAAGTACCAAGAATATTTCTAAAAAATTTTTTTAAAAATTTAATTACAAATGATTTAAATTCTGAATGTATATGTTATGATCATAAATGATTACTGACTAAGAGTGTTATTTTATAGTGTCCTTTTTCATTGATTCCTTTGTTATTATAATGCAAATCAATTATTTTTATTTAAATTCCAATAAGTAACAAATAAAGTCGTAAAAAAATAGAAAATTTTTGTTTATGGCATAAAAATTTAAATTAGTTATATTGAATATTTAAAAATTATATTCTTTCGTAAAGCTTTTAGATTTTCACCATTGGAATATTTTAATAAAAAATATTATTGTAGGATTGTGTTCATATTTTTATCATTTCACCGTAGGTCTTAGATGAAGAAGCTGAAGTTTTTGTTGTAAAAATGTGGCGACTACTCATTTATGAGATAGAAGCAAAGAAATTGGGCTTAGTGTGTAAACCCGACTCTGCATCTCAGGTAGAGATATTTTTCTGTGCACTTATTTATACTGTATAAGACTTGTGAAAAATATTTTAAAATGATATGCTATTTTATGTTATTATTTTTTCCTCCCCAGGAAAATATGACTCAAAGCAAGACGTGAAAGAGCATATGTCTGTGTTACCAGTGGAAAGTTCTATTGGAGTGCAGGCCATATATTAGGACTGACTGGACTGCCTTACTATGAGAGTAATGGTGCATTGTAATTATACCATCTCATTCACCAGTGCTGAGGACATATTCTCTGCTCATAAACCAATTGTACATGTGAATAAATCCTTTAAGACGAAACATATTTCATGAGTCTGTTTTATTACATGGTTGAAGACACAGTTTTGTTACACCTTGTCTTCTCATAAGCAGTTATCAATTTTGCTAATTATCAGAAGGTTGTTAGAAATTAAAGTGATGCTTATTTTGGTAGTTTTCCTTTGACCTATGATTTGGATACAGTAAAACCTCATAATTCAAGATGGAGTTTTGTTATACTTTCCTAAAATTTGATTGTTTTCTTGTAAGCAGTATCTTTTTTGATAACCGTCACAAGGTGGTTTAAAAATTACACTGATGCTTATTTTGATAGCTTTCCTTTGACGGTGGTTTGGAATTTAAGAAGATGGATTTGAGTAAAAGTTCAATAGAAGTATTTAAGTGTAGGAAAGTCGCTTAGGGACATGTATCTTGTCGGCATATTTCTGTAAATAAAAGGTCTTTATTTAAGAAGATATCCAATTTTTGGAGACCAGGATATTGTGTAATTTGTTTTTACAAGATCTAAAATAAACTGCATAATATGCAGTTTTCCTCCCTCCCAGCAACTGGTAATGATACAATTAACATTGGATGGAGATTTCTGTTGTTTAATTAATTGCATTCATCTTATTTGATAGCTCTTCTAAAATATTAGAAATAGTGAATGCAGCAAAGGATTGAGATTCGAATTGATAAATTGCAACCAGATAAATTTCTATGTCAAGTTAACTCAACAGTAGTAAAGTGCTGGTAAATATTTCAGAATGTTGCAGTAAAATCTTACTTTACACTTGTAAGAAAGAAATAAGTAAAGAGAACAATTGCACTCTTAATGGACATAGAGGAAGGAACTGCATTGTTGTAACATGAAGTATAACAAAAGAGAATGACTTGAATTACACATCTTAGTATAGTGTGCAAATAACTTAACTTTGTAGTAACAGAATCGTGCCCAAATAGTGAGTGTGGAAAGTTTGACAAAAAATTGTTATAGAAATTGTGTTTTTCTGTAATTATTAGGTGTGCAGTGTAGTTATGAGAGTTTAAAGCAGGGATTCCCAACCTTTTTCTTGCATTGATACCTTTTAAAAGAATTTCATGGATCCACTTAAATTGTTTCTGTAAAATAGAACATCTAGCATACTCACAATACAAATAATTGCACATAAATAAGTTAAAGATAATAATTAGATTAAGAAGACAAATTAAAAGTTTTGAAAAAAGAGTTTATTGAATTTATGCTTTAATTATTTTTGGTATTAATTTTATAAATATAAACAAATTTTCAGGAACTAAATCACAGATTTTAATTGCACAAAGGTTCAACTTTAATGAATGGGATGATTGCTCTAGATGTATGTTTTGAAGCAATTTTTGTTACATTTGGCATAAAATTGCTTGATTCTTAAATATTTTCATTAAACAATACCCAGCTTTTATTTAGCAACCTTTTTTTTTCTTTTCCATAGTTATTGAAGCCTGCTTCTACTAGTTAAGAAGTGATGCTGGTTAATTGACAACTTTTATTTTGAGATATTTCTCTTTAAAGACTTTTCTAAATTTGACATACTTGTGCGTTTTGAATAAGACTTGTACGTGAATATCCTGCTTTGATGCAATCAGCTTTTCTTGCATCATAACATAAAGATTAGTTATATTGCTCTTCAGCAGTTCTATGAGCAATGATTTGAATTTTCCATGGCACATTCAAATTTTCGGTGGAAACAAACATTAAAACCTTTTAAATTTTGTAAATGGCTTGTATATAAATAATCTTCTGAGGATATATAATCCTTTTCAATAACTGATAATCACAAGTAATGGAATTCTTTTCATTTTAGTGCTGATATGAACAAGTCAGTTTCAGAACAAAAACCAAAACTAATCGTTTTAGCTTCAGTGAGATTTATGTCTTTTCTATGTAGTTTATTTTGTCTGGCATTGTTTAAAGAACATATATCAGCCAAGCAGAATATATGTTTTTGGAATTTTATTCACTGTGATGCCAAAGTATAGTCAGCTTCATGAGAAAATTCTGTCACAGTATTAAAAATGTCTATAAAATGCTGCAAACAGTTACCCTTGGAGAGGTTTTCATCATTATAGTCACATATGGTTATGCAAAAGACAGTCATTTTTAATTCCGAGATCTGGGAATTTTTTGACGATTTTTTTTAAAACATTGTAACATTGATACATTTTATTAAAATAATGGTAATATATTGAAATTATATTAAAAAATAACATTAAAATAAAACATTTTTATTTTTTGCCATCTTATTACAATGTTCCATTTTGGCATCTTGTACAATATTTTGAAACAAGGTTATAATGCTACAAAGCACAGTTAACAAAACAGTTCTAAGCAAAATTAGCTATGTAATTAATTAAATATATCTTTTTAATTTTTTCATAGGAAGAGTTCTTCACATGTAACTGTCTCAGAATTCTTAGAACATGCATCAGTTTTCTCTATAAAATTAATTTTACACTTCCCCTTTTTTCTTCCAAAATATTTTTAGCTTTTTAGAATATGCATCAGTTTTCTCTATAAAATTAATTTTACACTCCCTCTTTTTTTCTTCCAAAATAATACTAGCTTTTTGTTATTACAAAATTGGTATGAATAATTTTTCTGTAGGATTTTAGACACTGCAGCTTGGAAAGTTTAGAAGCATCTGAAGGCACGTTTTATACACCCTTATTTTAGAAGATTCCTGAAAAATGTCTCCATGGATGTGTTTTACAAAAAGTGTGTGATGAATTTCTTACTTTTTGGTGAACGTCTGGAAGAATAGTGAAAACATAATATTTGAATGTTTTACTTCTGATACAAGAATCTTTTTCTTATGTTTATCTTCCCTTTATTTTCTCTAGTTTTCACTAGACACAAGCATGGAAAATATCAAAAATGCTTCTGATCTTATCACATGGAAAGACATTATAGAAAGGAGTTTTTTTATTAATAAAGAAATTGAAAACTAACAGTTTAAAATAATTATCTAATATGCTTACTGCATGTTGTGATGCATCATACACAAAGCTGGCGCTAGGCATTTTCCCATCTGATGCAATCTCTGTGGATCCTAAATTCTGCTTCCAATGCCTGCTATAAGAGTTACGACATTTCTAGATTTGCTGCTCGGTGTATCAATAAATTCTGCCACACCAGCTCTATAAGCAGTCCTTACAGTAAATATTCCATATTTCTTCTGAATGTTCATATTACTAAAGAAATAAAAGCAGCAGCTTTTTCTATACATTCTAAATGCATTTATTTTTTTAGAATAACAGAAATCCTTAATTAAATTCTAAAATGAAAAGGAAATGTGTTGAAAAAAGAAACTGAATACATAATGAAAATCATTCTTCAAAGATATGTACAGTTATTATTTATGATTTCAGCCTTTACTATAACTTCCCATTTCTATTCCTCATATGATAGTTACTAAGCCAGCTTAAATTAAAATTAAATTGTACAATCTTTGACCACTAGTCCCACATTTTAAGTTTGAATTTGACTGTTCTTGTTTAAGTACATCACCACGAGCTGTAATTGATTTTGTTAGCATCAGAACATGCCTTTGTGTTCTAAGTTCTTTTTAAATAAAAGAGGCTTGTGTAAACCTTTTATAATTAGTATTATCACAGAAAACAAAGCAACTTAAACAACTTACATTGAAAGAAATGTTTAATAAAGTACAAATAAATATTAAGATTTTTTTTTGTAAATTTTGATACCCTTTAGATCATAATTGTTCTTTATTTCATAAATTACGGTTTCATATTTTTAATTTTATAATTTCTGCATGCCATCTTACCAGATTTAAACTGATGATCGATAATCCAGAATCGCCGAAGTCCGGATTAACGACTTTTGACTTTATCACATTTGGTGCTTTAGTGGCTTTTTGGAACCTTAGGCTGTGTTCAGACTGGGGCATAAAGAGCATAAGGGGTTATAGTCGAACTGCGTTGCCAAGGCAACCAGTCTGTGCTACGTCACATAATCTGGTTTAAGGTTTGTGGCACAAGGTTCCAAGTTTTCAACTTTACGCCGATTTTGGTATAAGTGTCAACCAATCAGAGTGAAGCTAAAAAAAGTGGCTTTCTTTATACGATTTTGCTATCACATCGAAGGCGACTTTTTTTTTTTAATATGGAGCACATCATATCCGAACGAAATAATGAGTTGATCTCACAAGAAATCTACGATGATGACATGCATTTTTTAATGAAATTTTACAATAAATTGAAAATTGTGGATGAAACTCGAAAAGCGAAAGCTAAGCTCAGGATCATGCACGATCCTGTAGATGATTGATCCCATGCATTATTTTTCATTTTATTATGAAACTTCTTTAAAAAATGCATGCTTGCAAAAATTTGTTTTTTCTGTGTAAATTATTATTATTGCTTTCTTTCTGTTTATTATTTTTGTATAAATTATTACTATAATTTTCTTTCTGTTTAATTATTTTGTATTTAAGAATAAATTTATTGAAAAAGCTGGAAATATTGTATTGCTATTTGCTTCAAATGCTGATTTCAAACAAACTTCATGAATTAATTTTACTAAAACATCGAATCAGTATAAAAAATCTGCTGCTTTTTTTTCCAGTAAAAATATTACTATTAAAAAACATAAAAAATTATTTTCACTTATTTAAGAATAGTCACAATTCAATGGTGTAAGCTTTGTATAAGTAATAAAAGTTTAATCTTTTGAGAAAATGCTCTTATGAATTCCAAGAAGAAAAAATGTAGTGAATATCCTTAAAATAACAGTCTTGACAGTTTTTGTCTCCTGTTAATGTTCTGTTCTGTTTTTTTAATTACATTCTCCATGAAAGCTATTGACTTTTAATGAAACTGAATAGCACACATAATTCATAACATGGGCTTTAATTTAATGAATAGTATTTATTGTTATTTTCCACTCTTTATTACTATCATTTGAATGGAATTTTGATCATTAAATTCATGCTATTTCTCTGGTAGAAATTCCTGGATAAGATATGAATGTTTATAATGTTGTTGTAT